CCTTCCCAAAAAGCATGGGTCGCAAATTTTGATAATTTTTCGAGAGGTTATTGGATTTTGTGCAGTGATTATATAACTATTAGAAAGAGAATGAAGTGCTGCACCATATGCTACCAGAATCTCTTACACATCTTTGTTCCACGAGATGTGGCGTTCCTTGAAAAAACGACATTACTTTCGGAACGACCTAATACATTCCCATCAGACATTCATATGTGTTGTTGCCGTATTTTTTTATCAGCTAGAAATCAAGAAACCGAAAATTTCCATGTTTTTACAAAAGTGATGTTGTGCTTTTCTTACACTAACAGTATACTAGAAGCCCTTAGAAGTACTACCGTAGATTTTTGGCTCTCTATATGCTCTGGTTCACGAGAAATATCAAATTTAGCTTTCTTCACTTGGGTTTCTCACGCTTAGATTAACATTTCCCGGAAACCAGAGCTTATAGAGAGCTAAAAGTCTGCAATTGTACTTCTAAGGGCTTGTAGTATACAACTGTCAGTGTAAGAACAGCACAGCATCACTTTGGTAAAAACATGGAAATTGGTTTCTTGATTTCTAGCTGATAAAAAAAATACAGCAACAACACATATGAATGTCTGATGGGGAATGTATATGCGTGAGCGAGTTAGAGGTCTGTAGGATTTTTTGAACGAAGATATAAAAAAATTTCGTTTTCTGGGCATACGGAACTTTTTAGATTTTGGTTTGAAACTCGAGATGGACCAAAGCTTGTGCAAAATCCTAAACGCCATCTATATTATAGAGCTTGCTTTGCTCTATCGAATGTTGTCCTGATGTATATTCAGAATAAGAAGGTATAACTTATTATGGCGAAAACTCAAAAATGAAAAGACTTATGGGACAACCTGATAGATTTCGTATTATTTTATTGCACGAGAGTAACCAATCAGGAACAACTTTCGAAAAGAGGAAGAAAAGCTGGGTGAAGTAGCGTTTGAATTGTTCGCTCATCTTTATTCCACGTGTTTCTATGATACCTCGAAAGTACTTTCGGAACGATCCAAATATATCTTTAATGGGGGGGGGGGGGAAGCGCGCTCCCAACAAATACATTTGCACCCCATCCCCGAGAATGGGTCGCGAAATTTTTTATAGCTGCCTGTATGATTTGCAGAACTATGCATGTGACTTGTACGGGAAGAAATTTGCGAAAGTATCCCAAAAAATTTTGGCCGACACACGACCTCCATTCAGAAAAGCTGTCCCTCTCTCTCTCTCCCCCCCCCCCCTCCCCCCGAACGAAGATCCTGGGTACGCCAATGGTACGTACGTATAAGACGTATGAGATTCCTTATGCACTGTAACGATTTCCAGCAAAAGGAGCCCATACACCAACCGGATCACGAACTTATTCTGAACTGCTATTTTCAGGAGGTAACAATAGCGGTTCGGAAAGCATGTGAATTCACCTGTCCCTGTCTTGTGACAATAAAATGTGCGCTACTGGAGCAAGGATCTAACATTTTAACATTGGGGCGAATATCTACGAGACACTAGAATTTGGGGGAGATAACTCACTTTGTGGTGTAATATGGCAACGAAGTTCTTGACGACTGACTAATTATAAGTTCAAAACTTGATGGGCAGACGAATTTACAAATCGATGAATCAAATACAATACCGCTTACAGAATGTGCAAAATTTCCGTAAATGTCGCGAAATTCCGAAAATGTCGCGAAATTCCGAAAATTCCGCGAAATTTCCGGAATTTCGCGAAACTTCGCGACATTCCCGGAATTTCGCGAAATTCCGGAAAGTTCGCGGAAATTTCGGAATTTCGCGACATTCACGGAAATTTTGCACGTTATGAGAGTGGTATTGTAATTGACAGCCGAGGTGCGAGATTTGCTAATTACGGTGCGAGAGTGACCGCATATCACCGCGACTAGCGCTGATGGGCAAATGCTATGAAGTCATTTATATGCAACTTTGTGAGATCTTTCTTTCTATGATAAAAGCGGGATTTGAACTCTTTTATAAGCGAGGGTTTATAAGAAAGCCAATGTACATTTTTATGCATATCTTTGTGGAAAATGGGAACGAAGTGTCCGGATACCCGTATTTGTGTTTGTATTCGAAGGGGTTATACCAAAAAATTTACAGAAGAAATGGATGTTAAATACACAAGAGGCTGATCTAAGAACGGTTCTGGACTTAGAAATTTTTCGGAAAACTTTATGGTAGATCAAAATGAAATGATAATTCCAGGAGAATAATCAAGGCGCTGGCATAGCAATATTTCGATACAACTTTTGATGCGCTATCAGCTGATGAAGAAAGTTGGACAGCAGCATGAATGTGAAGGGGCGCTGCCCTATAGTATCTGGAGATAGTTTTTCTTAATTTGATCTTTGATCTCTATGCATAAATCGGTCAGAAGTGGTTCATTGGTGGTTATTGGCGGGTTAGTGGCCCAGGCATGGATGGGTTGGAATGGGAAGGTGGGGGAAGAGTGGGTGGAGACTTGGGTGTGGGCGGGGCCAAAAGTGGGCGGAGCTAGCAAATTTCGAAAAAATCGACATTTCTCTAAAATCTATCCACCGTAGTCCTACGGAAAGAAGCTATCTCGCTAATCAGATGTGTTTTTTGTAATCAATGGGTCGGATAACATCTATGGTTTGATTTTCTAAGGAACTAGTAGCACTTGATTTTTTCTCGCTCCTCACTCTTGGCCTCGGCGCAAGATTTGGTTCAAAATATTAGGTTCTCGGATTGACCGGAAACTTCGCTCATAGTGGTTTTTGGTCCCGATTCTTTACGAAAATCCTATTTATTTTGCACTAGAGAGTCTTACAGTAAAGCTAAAGTGAGATAGAAGTAGCTAAACCAATCAAGATCGCAACTTCGCCTGCACTTTTCGCCTACCTGTTGCGGAAATTGTCCGCAAATTTTTGTGAGTACAAAACTTTGTGAACACCTCTATCGGACCATGCTTAGCACAGATCTTTATTTGAATTGTTCGTCAGATTATGATGTTACAAAATCGCCTTCTCATGAATTGTCTTTCAAATTCGAAAGTCGTGTTGGCAGATATTCTATCCTACAATGTGTCACTAGCAGCAAAACAATGTAAGAAATGTTGTTAGCACGTCGAATAAAATACCGCTCACAGAATGTGCAAAATTTCCGTAAATGTCGCGAAATCCCGAAAATGTCGCGAAATTCCGAAAATTCCGCGAAATTTCCGGAATTTCGCGAAACTTCGCGACATTCCCGGAATTTCGCGAAATTCCGGAAAGTTCGCGGAAATTTCGGAATTTCGCGACATTCACGGAAATTTTGCACGTTATGAGAGTGGTATTGTACTAGGCTGGAATGAAAGTTTTGTTGCATTACATTGAAACATGACTTCCTATTACAGCATGGATCGGATTTATTTCAGTAGGAAATCATGCAGTATCTCTAAAAGCTTTATACTGAGCACATATCACATTGTTAGAAGTAAGAAAAAAGTTATCAAATCTCGATTTTCCTGTGTTTGGACATAAAAAATCTGGAATGCAATAAAAACCGGAGCAGTCGGTATTGTAAGCTTTAGTACCTGCTCTTTTTAACTGAGTAAAATTTGTGCTGAATAGACGCATTTATGAGAAATCAGAATCTGAAATATGCTGAAGAAATTCGCTGTTTACTAGTGTTTATTCAAAGATCCAAAATTTTCTCATGGGGAAATTCAACAACAAATTTAGCGAAGTAAGAGCAGATACTAGAAGCTATAATACCGATTGCTCCGATGTTTATTTATTGCAAATTTCGGTCTTACTATAAACGCGGAATGCCGAATGAATAGCTTTTTTCCTGACACATCTCGATATGAGCTCAACAGAAGGAAGCTGAAGTAGTGTTACGCGAGATGGATATGATTTCCTCTTTCAGATATAGGCCCATTTATGAGAAATCAGAATGCATTGCAATCATTTTGCCCATGCAGTTATTATATTAAGAAGGTGAGAAGCTGTGCATTTTTGAATGTGTTGCAGATCGTCCCCACCCGATATTCTCAGTTTTTGTCAGCTAGAAAATTGATTGTAAACATTTAGTGAAGTTTAATTTTGTAGTTCAAATACCACGTGTGTAGTCCTTTGATTCGCATGACAGCGAGGGTTTGCGATTAGGGTAGCGCAGTGATCTTTGGTGAGTTGCGTAGATCGATCAGCTGCGTAGACGAAAACAAGACCGCGGAGACCACTCTATAATAAACATGCTGAAGCCACGGAATTGCAGAGCTGTGTGTTTGAAGTCGCTGAATTCTATTTTGAACACATTTCTCCGTTTTTCTATCTACTAATCTATGTCTCGCATATTTTAGCGAATCCACTTATGACTGAAGTACAAGGCCCTGTAATTCCCTTGTACGATGCACAATAAATGTCTAACTCATCGATATGCAGTTCCTTCGTTAAAAATGACCGATATATCGGGAACATTTCCTATTAGCTGAGCTGTAGGCTTTCTGTAGTTTTACCAAAGTATAGCGTAAACCACAGTGGCCTGCTTGGAATGGTATTCCATATTTGTCATGATGCCGACTACGTAAAAGAAAAGATAGAAGGTTGTTTTCTCCCGGGTTGAAGCTACCCAACACCTCTTCAAGGTAATGTACGTATCTCACTCGGATTGGCCGGATCAACCTGAAATCCCTTCCTCGTAATTTCATGCACGCCCAATGATTTCTTTATCTGAAAAACATCATTTTTGGGATTTTTTTTGTGGAAATCTAGGTTTTCGTTACTTAGCGACATTAGTTAGAGTAATGCTTTTCGTCCAACAGACCGATCGATGCTACAGCGAGTGGTACTATCTCATAGTGATTTACATTGTAATCCTTTACTATTTGTATCACGCTTAACCCTTATCTTCCTACACCAGCTTTCCTTCACTTGCCGGAATCACATCATGCTTTTCACAAATTTTTCGCAGTCTTTAAGGAAAACGCTTGGTCGTCGCTGTCCATTGCAAATGATGTAAATTTTCAGAAAAAAAAAACTACTTCGAAGATGAGCTACAGATCCACTACACTACTTCAGACCAGCAGAAGATTATTAGCATGTTTAGAAGGTCGATATGCTCACAAGAACCCTCCCCAGTCAGGTGGTGTTCAGGATAAAAGCAACAGGGAGGAGGTCAGCGTTCGAATTCCCACTTCTGCAGAGGTCTTGAGAACTTCATTCATTGAACTTTATGCTGCTTAATTGACAAGCTGGATTTCTTGCTCACCTATTCCTTTTAACGGAATTTTGCAGAATGCCAGTGCTGGATACGGTGGAACAGATAGAAATGTTGACGAATCTACAAAGAAGCATCACGTAAGTCACTTCATAGATGTCATTCTTTTGCTTATATGATTTTTTCCTAGGAAAAGCAAGAAAGCAAAATTGCCAAAGAAGGCATGGATTCAGATCTTCCAAGAGGATTAGATAATGTACATCTACCCAGAATTTGTTGTTTAATATTTTTATTAAAATACTTATTTAGCACGGCAACAGTGATGACGATGCTCGCAAAGCTATGCATCAAAATGTAAGATATGGAAAAGGACCAATGAAGAAAGATGTTCGTTTCTCAAAGCAAAGAGTCGTAATTTTGTTGATGAGTTTCATTTTTTACAGGAAGACAAGGGTGCTACTCACATAACCCCGAACGAAACAAAGTGATCCTTTCCTTTGAACGTTATTAGAATGATATTAGATTTTGGTGTAGATGAAAAGGGTATTATGACAGTTTTCGTGAGATGGTTTTTTACCAGTATTGACTGTATAGTGTTGTTTCTTGGTTGACTTGTAAATAAAAATACAATGGTCAGTGCTTGTTGACTATCGAGGAAATCCTTGCCATACTTGAAATATATAATCAAATTTGAAATGATTTTACGCTTTGTCCAACTATCATACGAGCAAGCCCTAAAAATCCAATCATAAATGAAAATCTGATCAATATCGCCTCTATTGATAAAATTATGTACTTTTACGCTATGGAACAACTCTGTAATGAGGCTGTTTTCTCCAGGTTTTCTCCTTGGTTGAGTTCCCCAACAGCATTTCGAGGGCGTCGCAGTGTTTTACATATTCCTTACTTATTATCCATATCGGCCGGGTCGCCTTTTATGGTTGCGTTATTTTATACTGTAGCTGAGGTCAGCGCCGGGATCCGACGGATAATGGTTTCTGGTTTACTTGGATCCACCTACATAGAAGACACATCACTTTGGGGTTTTCGTGGAAACCTAAGATTCATTTTCACTCACCTAAGATTCTTTACTATTATTTTTTATAATTGCATGAAATTTTCTCATTCCTCATAAAGTGCGGAATTGGCCTACACTACATCGAGGGGTTCTGTATAGTATCATAAGTTCGATTGTTGAAAGACCTTGATGCTTACTATTATCACATTAGGTTTCCTCCACTTGCTATCACATCATGCTTTATACACCCAAATTTTTCGTGTTTTGAAACCTCTCATAATGCTCGCTTACGTCCACTGCAAATGATATGTACTTCTAGAAAAAAATATATTTCGAAAATGAGCTACAGATCCACTACACTACTTCAGACCAGCAGAAGATTACTAGCATGTTTAGAAGGTCGATATGCTCACAAGAACCCTCCCCAGTCAGGTGGTGTTCAGGACAAAAGCAACAGGAAGGAGGTCAGCGTTCGAATTCCCACTTTTGGAAAGGTCTTGAGAACTTCATTCATTAAATTTTATGCTGAGTTTTATTATGAGAAAATGAACAGTGTTGCTTTCATATATTCTAATAAAATTTTGCAGAATACCAGTGCTGGATACGGCGGAACAGAAAGGAATGTTGACGAGTCCACAAAGAAGCATCACGTAGGTTCTTCACAGATGTCATTCTGATTTTTTGCTCATGTGATTTTCTCTAGGAAAAGCAAGAAAGCAAAATTGCCAAAGAAGGCATGGATTCAGATCTTCCAAGAGGATTAGATAATGTACATCTATCCAGAATCTGCTGTTTAATATTTTCATTAAAATACTTATTTAGCACGGCAACAGTGATGACGATGCTCGCAAAGCTATGCATCAAAATGTGAGATATGGAAAGGGACCAATGAAGAAAGATGTTCGTTTGTCAGAGCACGAATCATGACTTTATTATTTTCTCTTTTTCCAGGAAGACAAGGGTGCTGACCACATAAGCCCGAACGAAACAAAGTGATCTCGTACTTTGAACATTAGTCGAGTGATATTAGATTTTGGTATGAATGACAAGGGTATTATGACAGTTTGTTTCGTGAGATGTTAGAGTAGTATTGGCTGTATAGTGTTATGTTCGTTCTTGGTTGACTTGTAAATAAATAATGCAATGGTCACTGCTTGCTGACTATTAAGGAAATCCTTGCCATACCTCTTTAGTATGTAACCAGTGCAGTTACTAAACACCTTCACTTCCAGAAGTCGATCATTGATTCCAAAAATCAGGCCAGTCATTGTTTTTATCACTAAAAGTTTATATCTCTGCATCATATTCGGTGCGGGAAATACTTAATGGAATTGTAAAGGAAACTAACTGAAATTATCGTAGCTCAGCTAGAGCGAATCTGAAACGCCTCTCTACCCCTAAAGAACGAACTTGGAGGCACTTCAGCATTTAAGATAAAATATCACCCAAACTTAGTGTTCTTTTTTGTGAATGACTCTAACTTTGCTCAAAGATCTCAAACTTTAGTGCTTGCTTAGTTCAATTTTTATGCAATCACCTCTCTAGTTTGAACAAAATTTCGGCAATATGTTGATCTTTGTGCGGTTCAACAAATTCAGGGTAAAGTCCTATAGATTACCCTTCGCTAGTAGTGTAAACATTCTCATCTCTTTCAACTTTAAGAGTGATAGAAGAATTTTCAAGAAAGGATTCGCAGGATTCACCTGCGCAAGAATTCCTATCTCTGGTATTTGTATGTTGAAACCATGCAGGTCTGTGCAGTAAGCGAAGCTGAACTGTTGCCCCAAAAAAGCAAGGTTTTAGGCTTTTCACGTACCTCAGTTCTGAAAACGAAATAGGTCTGAGCCTCCCTCAATCTCTTATTGTTAGTGAAAGCAGGGATATCCGCGTTTTGATCTCCCATACTGAGGAGATAGAAGACGATAAGGAAGTCAAGTGTCACTTTGCTTCTCCCTCTAGAAAGTCGTGGGTATAAAGCTCCAATAATGTCAATGAATGTCAAGACCTAATAGCTGTTATGAGTCGGTACAGAGCAGAATCACAGTCTTCTATATGGGCCCCTGGGACTGGGCCCGATCCGCTCGACGACTGAAATATCTGCTACGCAACAGCTTAGAGCTTGACAATTTTCGAATGGAAACTAAAACCAAGTTAGAATCTAGTAGATTTTCTGGGGTGTATGTCAAGAGGCGCGATTTTTATTGCCAGATGGATACTAAATAATACATATTAAGTATTTTATAAGTTTCTAAATTTATTCAGATTTTAGAAGGAGATATATAGATAGTTGCATGGGTTGCTCAATCTTAATACCTTGGGATTAAATTAAAACAGCAATTTTGAAGGTCAAAACCCATGAAAATGCAGTTAAGAACAAATTCATAAATATTTCGGTCCGTTTTCCAGAAAAAGCCACCAAACTCAGCAAGTGGTAACCTCAGACAGTAAGCTAATGCAATTTATCTGGTAATTTTTGAAGACTCGCATGGCACCAAACTGGGGTTCTAAGTTGGTGACAGTCAAAGAAATCGCGCCTTTTGACCGTCTCCCGATTTTCTGCCTGATATAGTGAGCTTGCGATGCCGAGATTTTGCGGTATGACTTGCGCGTGAACAAATAGCTGCGTCTGTGATGCTAGCCACCTGCGCGCGCGGGATACCGGCGTTGTTTGGCAATTCGGCGAAAATTTTATCGCAGTATCTCGCCACCGAAAGGAACTATAATACGCGGAAAACGACTAGACTGTAGTTCTTTGATCATAGTATTCAGCTTCAACTGAGGTGCAGTAACTGTCTCAATCTCTGTTACTCTCTTTGAAAAAAAAAAAGATAACCACATGATGCAGCAATTTCAATAGTCCCTCCATTGTGGAACGTCGGCTTATTCTGCAGTCTGTTATTCAGAAGTGGTGCCGATGCAAGAGAGATCACGAAATATTCGAGAGACGAGAGGAACAGAATCACTTGGGACTCCGCAAAACAACAACTCTAAGCTGGCAACCTCCATGCACATGTTTCTAAAGCGATGCTGCCCGTTTTTTGTTTTGCGCGAAGTTACTCGATTCGCTCGAATTAAAGCCTTCCATTTGAGGCTCTGCTATAAAAAGCTATTTTTTGGATGCAAGGTCCGTGGTCGATTGCGACTGTTGCCTGTGATTATGTATTTAGAAGCCATCTATTTTAGGCGTCAAAAATTTTGACTTTTAACACCTGCCAATAAATTTCTGTATTATCTAGTAGCCTGAGATTGACATATAATCTTACCTTAGAACAGTGTACGGTAGTCCACAAAATAGTCTTACTCTTTGATTTTGAATAATATGTTTCTTTCCTGACTTCTTCCGGAATTTTTAGATACCATTTGGTAGAGCTTTCGAAAATTATAATAGGAAGCGAAGCACCGATCGCTTTTCTGTACTATAGGATTACGGGAGAAACTTCCAGCAATGGCTTTCTTGCAAACTATTCGCAATCTCATGAGTCTACAGAGCACTTGTAACCTTTTTTGGTGGAATTCCTGATGCGCTAATTTTAGCAAAGAACTTTATGTTTTCAATTCATTTTAGATAACTTGATCAGATTTTCAAGAAAACATTGCCTTTTTATGTGCTCGACGTAACTTCCGAACAAACTAATGTTATAATGCTTATTTTTGAAATCAGAAAAAGCAAAAAAAATTTTTAGTTTTCTTGGAATACTATCACGAGGAAAGCTTTCTTCAATATAAAAGCCTTTTTAAGGTTTACACCGTAATTCTACGGTGACGAAGGTCGATCGGTAGTTTGTGTCACACCGTGAATCTCCTCTAAAGTCAACTCCACGAAATGATACCGTATTAGCGAAATAATATACCAACGCTGGGGATTGAACAGCAGGACCAATTTTCGGGACACCATGTTTTACCTCTATTCAACCTATTATTAGCACACATCTGTCAGTCTACTCCTCGGAAATCTTTCTGTTTCCGTTCCTTGAGAGTCTTTTGTCTTCTTAACTCATATTCATTCCAAGAAGCAATTACCGATTGTAAAACTTGTCTTTGATTCGAATAAAATCGAAGATCGGCAACGATTTGTACATTGTCAGCTGACAGCTGGACATTGAGACTTGTTTTTGACATCTCAAAGACCATTCCTAATGGTATACGATAGGCGAGCACTGTGTGGCATTCAGTAGTATCTCATACATTTTTTCCTCGCAATCTGTGTGTCGCACGCTTTCAAAGTATCTCTCCTCACGATCCAAATAAGTAAAGTGTGTGTACAGGCCATCCAGGCATTGTAAATAATTGTATGTGGCATACAACCTACTACTTTTTTCTATACAAAATGACATAGAAAGTCTAACTACTCTGAGTATTTGTTAAGCTAGTTTTTTTCAATTTGTTGTAAAATTTGGAAATCTTACGGATCGCAATGCCACTGCAGAAATGTCCATTATGGAATGCTTTCCATTATTCACGATGTAATGAGCAGAAAGCAGCTGATCACTAGCTTGATCCTTAGTAAACAAACGGACGTCACCGTTAAGACGCTCTAAACAAAAACACACGGTTTTCCTCTCCACCACTCCGACTCATTTGTGACTCGATTCATTTTTGACTCAGATATTAGTGCGCCTCAGTACATTTCATCGTTTCAGGAACTGTGAAGATTTTTGAAGATGAGTGGTGATCTTGTAAGTTCCCAATATCGAGCACTCTCACTCCAGCAGTAATTCATTCTTCCAGGCCGAATTTGTGTTTGAGCTTGGCCTGAAAGCCAAAGAACTCAGCAAAGAAGAACAAGAGAAAATGAGTGACATCGGAAAGGCCCTCGCACACGCAGCTGAAGTGGACTATGGCTTGGTAGTAATCTTATTGTTGTCTTAACATTTACATCAATTTATTTTACAGACTCAAGATAACGAGGAAGCTGCAAAGGTAACAACGAGGTCGAGTGATTCTTCTAAGGTCTGACTGATCTGATGACCGATTTAGATTTTGCCTCTTCATTGTCGATTCTTTCAGGAAGCTGATGCTGCATACCTGAAGCAAAAAATCGAAAAAATCAAGGGGAAATGAGAGAAGAAGTGTTTGCGACTTGCCTATGATATCATGTACAGAGAGTGATGTGATCACGATAATAATGAGAGTTGCTTGTATGAACTCAGTAAACTGATTTTCAGCTTCACTGCTGACTTATTGTCAATACATTTCCGTTAGATTTATTAGCTACAAGTGTTATTACAGATACAGGTTCGAAATGCAATGTCCCTTGTCAAGTCTATTGATAGTTTCATTCAACGGAAAGAAATTCTCATAGCAATTGGTGTAAGAGAGGAACATAAAGTAGTGTGAGAAAAAAAACGCGGAGATGATCCCAGAAGTTTACTATGAATCTATTCAAAGAAGAGTCACAAGCAGTATATGTTAATGGGACGGTTTTTGTGTAATCTGAATGAAATTCAATAATTTAAATCTTCAAAGTGAGTTAGGACTGTGTTTCAAAAGTTAAAAAGTGCGCATTAATACACTGACTTTCCCAACCTTTTTTTGTTTGGCTCAGAAGAAAAGAGTCTTCATTTTGTTTCGCAAAAAACATTAGTTCGTCAATCGCAAAAAAGCTGCGATAATCTCATGAGTCAAACATCATTTTTGTACAAAATCGCAGAAAAAGCCTTGTGAAATGTGTCATATTACTGTAATAATCTTCTTCCCACGGCATTTGCTTGGAAAAAAAAATATGCAGCTCCCGCTAGAAAGAGTGATTTGTTATTTCGACTCTGGTCGTAAAAATAGAGTGTGGCTAAGTGACTTCAAAAAGTTTAATCTTCTTATACAGCAGTAGTCGCATCGCTTTGGCACACTTTAGTCTAGCATGAAAATAAAAACTTTGTATTTGAACCTAATACAACATAGATAGATACTTTATTAGTATTCGTTGGTTTCGAGTCAAATTTTGCATGAGTTCAACATTTGGTCAATAATTCCAGAAAATCTTTTGGTTGCATCGTGCTTTCTCATATTAGGAATTTCAAGGTTCAGCTGGTGTGGACCTACTGGAACATATATAGTCCTTCTGTCTCAAAAGCTTTCGCGGATCTTCAATTCTCTCATCGCAGAGCTAGCTTCGCTCTGAATTCACAGTACAAATCAAATTACCAGTCTCCGTTTGGTACCCAGATCAGTACACAACTCTTTCAAGTTAATGCCACTGGAAAAAGAAGTTTTAGGACAAAACCCCGAAAACGGTGCAAAGTCGTTATGAAGTCAATCAAACCGCTAATTCTGACATTAAGACTTGCATTACCCACCATATTGCTTGTAAGCTGCACCGGAAAGACCATAATTGCTGTTTTTTTTTTTTGACGTCCTCACGTATTTGATTGCAACATTTATGGGTTTTGCAAAATTTTGCAGACGTAAATCTCTGAGGCCTTTTGATCGTTATGGACCAACTTTCTGAATTTTTCTTGGGATCAGAAAAAGCAAGGCCTGCGCAATTCACTTTTAAAATTCGAGGGACAATACCGACACCTACTACACGTCCACAACGATGGGTGGCGTGGAAGGGAGTGGATCAGTGTAAAAACCAGAAGGATTTTCAACGGCGAGTTCGCGATTTCGTTTCGATTTCTTTGAATAAGCTGTGTACCAAGTTTCGTGTGTCTTGCTGCTTTGCTCACGTTTTACGAAAATGCAGGACCAAAGCCTTTTGAAATATTATGTATACATTCGCTTTATATTCATGCGCGACTCATTTACAACTTAAGGACAGTGTCCAGGCAAATCTGGGCGCATGGCTTTCTGACTGGAAACTGATTAGGAAGTCCTAGTTATTTAATGACCAAACGGCAGCGTAAATGATTCATTCACGGCTGAAAAGTCCATCTCTAAACACTCTTATCCTGCGCCGTAACTTATTCGCGAGTGACTTAGGATGAGTCCCATTGCGAACGTAGTGTTAAAGTGAGCGAAGTCGGATTACGACACTGCGCATTCGCAAAGGGTTTTGGGGACGGATTCTCAAGCCGTGAATGAATCATCTGCGCTGCCGCTTGGGCAGTGCCTCACTTAGTAAGTCCTCATCAGTTTCCAGGCGAAAAACCCATACGCCCAGATTTGCCTGAACACTGCCTTTGATAGGTGAGCGTGCACAGTGTGCGCCAGCTGGCCCTTACTAGTAACTCGTAGTAAATTTTTTTTTGCGGAACAAACGCTGGCAATGTGTAGCCTACCTAACACATATGCGATCCAACTAAAAGAGGGGATGAATAAATTCCATGACTTCGACTATTACATTCGCTGCTCCGTTTTCATGCGTGAAGACACTGCAGGGCTGCAGCAGTGGGCACCTCCTCCCTTGCTTCTGTGTGGCTTCGAAAAATAGGGTTTTTGCGAAACAGCCGACGTCTAAGCAAATCTGAATCCGTATTGGGTTATACTGGGCAGGGCAATCTCACATCCCGCAGGAAAGCGAAACCCAGTTTTGTTGAGACACTGCCCTCGACAGCGTGGGAACATAACAGTTCTGGCCTAAAATGGCGCCTTGGACGTAGAATCCGAGCAAAATCTTGTTTCGCAACGCTGACAAGGGTAGGATGGTTAGTCGAAGTGTGTTTACAAAAATGGCATGTATACCTTCTCGAAGAGCATAAAACGCTGAATTTAGATCTGCCTTAACTATCTGCGGAACCTCTGGAGGAGGAGCTATGAGAGTTTATGGGAGTAAAAATGAATCAGATTTAGGATGAAATTAGCTGTCAAAAATCTCTCAGCACTGAGGCAGCGATGTGTTGGAAATTTCGAAATGGAAAACCTATTGGATAGAGTGCCACAAACAATCACTGCTCCATTTGATCTTTAGAAAAACTATTACTATTGCTTATCCTAGTTGACATAATTCCTTGCTTTGATAAACGCTCACAACTCCTCGGAAGTGGTCCGCAGATTTGGAATGCAATTTTGGAATCAGCGTTTCATGTGCACCAAAATAATATAAATCGCAGCTTGGAAGGACATTTTAACCCATCATCCCTTCCTTGTGAGTTGATTTTCTTGATCCATTAACCAAAAATATAGCACTAGCACGTGATTTGCTTGCATATTTGAGAGGGTAGGTTTGCAGAACAAAAAGGGTAGTCTCTTTTGTTGTGAACTTACTATCTTGCCGTAAATTTCATGGCAGTTACACAAATAATTCAATGTCAGATCATTCGCCTCAGCTTCGATAAAAAATGCAAAGCAGTCGTGTTTTACGCATCTTACGCCTTACGCAGCGAAAGGCGCGAATTCAAAACAATCTCGCACATCAGCTTGTTTGTGTTTAGTCGATGATCATTGATGTCTTGTATGGATCGAGCAGCAGCAAGGAAGTAAACAAGAACGAAGGCCCCTCTGCAACAAACACGCTGTCATATGTGCACAGCTCTCTGCTAGATTCTATTGCACCTCATCATTCTGCAACTGTTTGAATTACTTACTGTCTCTACATTCATCTACGATTCATCTTTCACTTTTCGCAGCCTTTTTTTTAACTTTTCAATTGGAATTAGTAAAGCCAAGGGTACTTCTTATATAAAATCTAAGTGATGTGCAAAAATTTTATAACTGTCAGAATATACTCAAGAAATACAGCGCTTCACAATGGACCAACTTTGCACGGCGTTGTAGGAGGTGCATTCACGAAAATTTAATAATATATGGTGATTATATTAGTATGATGTGTTTATTTCGAGCATCGATAGCCCAAAACTGAAATCGCATACGTGATCAATATCGGCGAAAAAAATCTTTCGGGGAGGGGGGTTCAAACGAATTATTTTCGTGAAGAACGAACAAAGATTTTCTCGTGTTTTAGCGCATAAGAGGGGTGTAATCGAGCATGCTGATCACTATACTTGGGTCCGAATCGAATAGAAATTCGATCATTCGAATAAAACATTCGAATATATTCGTATTCGAAATTCGATATTCGGAGTTCTTCCATTTTCGAATAATATTCGAAACTCGAATAATCAAAAAACAGGATTTCGAATAAAATTCGAAAACTCGAATAATCAGAAAACGAGGTTTCGAATATTATTCGAAAACTCGAATAATCAAAAAACGAGGTTTCGAATATTATTCGAAAACTCGAATAATCAAAAAATGGGGTTTCGAATAGATTTTATTCGAATGTTTTATTCGAATGTTTATTCGAATTCGTATTCGAATGACTCCGTATTCAGACTATTCGACTTTGTTGCAAACCAACTGCTGAGTATCAAGCTCACTTCGTCCGCGTTTTTTTTTCGCAAAACTTGGTAATGCATCTTTTGCAACCGTTATACCTTTGAACTGTATGGAGAGTCGCATTCTTCCAACTGCTTGCGACACTAAATAATCATATGTAGATTTCAGTTGATGTAGAAAGTAGAGCAAGCCCTTTGCTTTTACATTATTGATGCTGATAAGAAATAAAGTTGATTCTGGTGTACATCAGTCTCTTTCAGACCATCTGAAGAAGATTCTTTTGGGCACAGCATAAAAATTTAAATCGACTGCTTTTTAGATCATCCATATTGGATAAAATATGACTTTTTGCTGATGTATAGACTAGATGCCGACCGACCGACTTTATCGATTTTTGAGGAAGTTTGAGCTGCGGGCCTGAGAGTTGGTACAAGGGGGTAAGTGAGGGTGCTGAATACGGATAAAAATTTACAGGGCTCCTAAATTGCAGAGTCGTTTGCACCAGCGGTCGCGCGACCGCGTCGCGCCCGGGCATTTTGCCGGCGCCGGCGCCATCGATCGAGGCGGCGCTATTGATGCCCGGGCGCGATGCGGTCGCGCGACCGCTGGTGCAAACAACTCTGCAATTTAGGAGCCCTGTAATTTATGAATTTTATCGATTTTTGGAAAATCTCGAGCTACGAGCTTGGGAGTTGGTAAAAAGGTTAAATGAGGATGCTGATTAAAACCGAAATCTATTTTATCGATTTCAGCAATTTTTGGAAAATTTTGAGCTAGGAGTTGGTATAGAGGATACCAGGGGGCTGATTATGATTGGATCGGCTCTAGCCAGATATGTCGGCAAGTTT